GCGACCCGGTGGAAAACCTGCAGCAATGGGTCAAGGATGCTATAGAGCTAACTGGATCCAGTGACGAGGAGACGGGATTTACCATCATTGCAGACTCTTGGCTTGGCAAAGGCAAAATCCGAGACATTTGGGAGGTGGCTGTGAAGGCTCCACAAGGATGGACGTGTATTCACAACGGGAGACTTGAGCATCAAATCTATAGAAATCAAATCTCGCGATGGGGGAAGGTCCTTTACCACATATGACAGGCCTTGCTTGCTTGTTTTGGCAGAGATGGTGGCCAAGGACAGAAATCAGCACATTGCCGTGGAGCTTGGTGCTTTGACTGCAACTGGTGACAGCAAAGAAGATGGGCACCACACGACAGTAGGGGCAGAGATGGGGCAGTTCGTCCAGTGGCTCTCTACATCGAGAAGTTGATTGTTGTAGACACTGGACGAACTTCACATTCACAGCAGTCAGACTTGAACAGTACCCACGTATTGACTTGATCCGAATCCCACGAATTTGAATGGCCACATCTCCTTCTTGGTTAGGATATGTTAGGAGACTATTTTGTCTTGCTTGCTGTTTGCATCACTGATATTGCTTGGGACTGTCTTCCTCTCGCCTCACTTGGCATGATTGAGGCTTCCTTCCAGAAGCCAACCGCGATGCGGACAAACACCTCTCGTTGGCCCGCGGCCTTTTCGTCATCGGAAAAGACAAGACTTTACGTCTCAGCGGCTGGGCGGAAGGAGGATTGTGAAAAAGGGTTGTTTGAGGTCTTCAAAGGTCTTGCGTTGGCAAGCGAACTTGGGACTGTCGGTTGTTTCCTCATTTTTCTTTGGAACTGCTTTGGAACTGGTGCGCAAGAGAAGTAGTTACAGCATATAATAACTCTTTGGGCAACCTCCAATTGGTTGGTTGCATAGATTCTCCCACCAACTAGAGTTTGAGGAGACATGCTGCTAGGATATGGTTCAGACAGGGGATGCAGCAAAGATTTGACCAAGGCATGCAATATCCGATGACCACCGGCATGAATTTCCTCGAGGTCCTGCGTGGGATCCTCAAGTTCAGACTGGTCGTGTTTGTTTCACCTAGTTGAACTGTAGCTTTGGCAGACTGGTCTTGGAATCAACAAGTCTGTGAACATGATGTCCTGTTACATGCCAGATGTGCCCACCCAGCTAGCCAGCTAGCCACTCAAACCCAAGCCAAGAGGCTTATGTGGAAGAACGTGCAAGTTGACGCACTTTGGTGTTCGCTTGAGGTGTCTTGGACTCCTTGATCCTGACCAAGGACGGGATATGCTGCAAGGGGTAACTATCATCCTTAGAATCAAACAGGTTCGAAAACACAAGCCTTCCTCAATTGGTTGTTGGATTCTTCTACATGTCGCAGGATTGCACCTAACAGTTGTCCAGACTTACCCATTTTGAGGAGCACCATGTAGCTACTCCTGCCAATTGGCAGCAAAATGAGAGGCTGATCCTGGACCCCAAGGCAGGGTTTGTGATGTTTGTGGCGTTTGCAGTGGCTGTCATGAGGATTCATGAGGCCAGCAGCTAACCAAACATTGATTCCTTCCTCTAGCTATCAGGGTTTTCAGTATCTGAACAAGGGAAATGCATTTAGAAAACGAAGGGTTGACCGTCTCGAGGCATTTTTTCGGGGCGAAGGGGCCCTGCACCAAGACAGCCGTCCGTGCGTTGTGCGAACTCACGCGGCGGAGGTCTCCAGAACGGATGCCAACAAGTTTACCAATCTGCACACCCAAGCGGTGCCCTCGAAAAAGGAGTACCTCAGGCGCGGTTTTCTGTGGGGTACTTGCAGTATTTTCTAGTCAACAATTGAACACGCTTTCGTCCTTAGAAATTTCGTTCTTTGGTCCATCTCTCCAAAGTAGTGACGTCAAGCTCTCTGAACACCAAAAAGCACTGAAGATGATCTGGACTGCCATAACCGGCTTTGCACGCATTTTCCATCGGCACCTTTGGACTGCCAAGGTGGGTGGATTGCCCCAGACTGCCCTGGTTCAAGGAAGAGGCCTGGTGGTGCAGCGGAGTTCTGTGTGGCCCAACTCAGTCCAACACGGCCGTACAGGTGCCAACCTTCACGGCTCCGGAAGCTTTGCTGGACGGTCAAGAATGGGAACCTTTGCCGCCGGTGAGCAAGGCGCGACCTCGTCCAGGAGGAAAGACGTCGCAGTCGCACTAGTTGTGGTGCACGAAGAAATCCTGAAAACATTACTATATAGATTGATTGACGGATAATCTGTTCATCTAGTTTGTAGAGGTTTGAATCAGAAGGGCCGCGTGATTGCAGACTTGCTACAGAGTGTTAGAGTTTCTTAGAAAGTCTTTTCGATCCATAGCTTGTCAGCAGAGCTGCAACTGCAGTGGCAGTGTCATACTGCTAGAGAAAGCAACAAATGATTTTTGATGGCTGACGCACACAAACCCGACACACAATCGCTAATGGAGTGGGATGTTATGCAAAGCTACACATGACATGACATGGCGACCCACGTGCATGCAGTACTACCTCATGAGCATATTAGTACTACACACATCAGTCACTTGGAACATCTTGGAACAGACTCGGATACTCACGAGGCTCAAAATGAAATCCGTGGAAGAGACCCGCCGGAAGACAAAAGTGACACTTGGCTGAAAGAAGACACGTGCCATCTCCTTCGGGGTCTCCACAGAACTTCTGGACTTGCAGAAGCTATGCACCGGCTGCTGTGCTTGCTGTGCTCGCCTCCAAACAATGTGCTTCTCGAGGTTTGGTGCATGATGTGTTCCTGTGGCAACTGAAGATCGATGAACAAAGAGAGAGTTCTCAAAACGAGAGCCGAGAAGCAGCACGAGCCCAGTGCACCTCAAAGCAGGTGCCCGTGGCCGAGCGATGAGAGTGTTTCAGAGGGTAGGCATTTTATGTTCGAAAAGTGGCGCCATGCGGCAGAGCGGATGCAGGGTGCTGCTTCTTTTTGGGGGGCTCAATAGAAAGGAAATGAAAAGAATGCTAAATTGGGCAGAAGCTGCAGACAGAACAAAAAAGAAGCAAATGGTTTATGACATGAACATGAGATAACATTAGCATGTCAAACCGAGATGATCGAGAAGTGTGGCCATGATGCCACAGTGGCAGACCAAACCGAGGTTATGTTCAGGACATGTCGACCAACGGCACACGCCTGAACGGCAAGAGGTTGCCGAGACCGCCCTATAAGCACCCAATGGCTTCTCAGCTGAAAAACTGGTGTTGTGACTTCGATGATTTGCTTGAGGTTATAGAACAAGGCCATGGAGGCAAACGTGATGGGTCTGCACTTTTGGTATATCAAAAATCAGACATGCATCGATCTACAGAGCAATTCGGGTCCGACAGCCCCATGCATGCATTGATGTTGCCGATGTGAAAATCCGGATGATCCCGTTTGTTCCCTCATCGGTTGGGTCTCCGAGGATGCCCGCGTCCGCATCTTCCACGGAGATGAGTTGGTGTTGGCCATCACCCCCGATGGAGAAGAGCTGGGCTTCGCAGATGCCTCAATCAGCACAACACGAAAACAGGTGTGGAGTCGGCTCTATGGAGATGTGGAGTCGGCTCCAAGGAGAATTCAAGCATATTCAATGAGGCTTTGGACGTTTGAGGTCAGAGCTTTGTGCTTTTTTCTCGCTCGTCATTCGAGGTGGTCAATCTTCTGGAGTCCAGAGCTGAGTCATTTCAAGTCCTGCTCGACGATGAACGCCGCAAGAGCCGATGCCATGGGCCAATAGCTTTCTCTCAGTGTTTGCTTTTTAAGGCTGAGTGGCTGATCGATGCCTAGAGAGGCTGCGTTGCCAGCTGAAAGGAGCTGTAGAGGTGTCTTTTTTTTCACTGCCATAAATAGTCGTGGTCGTGGTGAAGCAGTGCTCCACATGGTGAGTGCGGTATTGTCGTCCAATGTTGTATGATGATGTATGTGCACGGTACTTGAAGTCGGTCCAATTTTGCAACGATCCTTTCGGCAGTGGCGAACGAACGTCTCACGTGACGCGGAGGTTACGAAAGGTTCTAGGGTGCGACTGGCGAGACGTTCGCACGCCAAAAAAAAGAAAAGGAGCTGGCCAAAGCGTTCAGGATGTAGAAACAAGAAGCTATTAGTAACAAGTGCATCGCTTCTAGTAACAAGTGCCTTACTAGTAGTAACAAGAAGCCTAAACAATAAGCTACTAGTAACAAAGTGCAATGGTGACTTCAGGGATTGAAGGGACTTCAGACATCTGCTGGAAGGAGAGTCTTTCTGAGACGTCTGCTGATGGTTTCGTTGTTTGAAACCAGCAGCCACCAGTTTGCCGTGAGGTGACTAGAGTTGATCTTAGTCAGGTGATGGGCGAATGGCGTGTTTCATGGCCCATACCCTCGCGGCGACATCCACCGCCAGAGGCCAACAACGATGACTTTAGGGTTTTCCAATAAGTTGATGCATCGATTCTTGATGATTACTTATCTATGAATGGCATGATGAAAGCACTCGGTCGTGGCGAACGTTCAGTGGATGGTGAGCACATCCCGTGCTGAATCGGTTGCTCGATGAGTCAGAGCAGAGCATCGCCATCGCCTGCTGCAGGTGCTCGGCCATTCGATGAATGCCATGTGCTCATCGGATGCATGGACTGCCATGGTGCGAAAAGGGTCGAACTGGACATCATTTGGTGCCTTTTCCAAAAACATCAAGGTCAAAGTGGCCAAGGCATGCCAAGGCAAAGGGTTAAAACGATGACGTGCAGAAGTCGGCAAAGGATCCAGAACATGTTGGAGCTGTGCTTCCGTCACCTGCTCAAGGTTCCCAAGCCTTGTGAATTCCTCCAACGCCTTGCATATATTCTGACCGTGACACATCAAAATCAAAGGGACGGACCGTCGGACCCATTGATCAGGACATTAGCATCTTGACATTAGCAACTTCCTTGAATTCCGAACGGCAAGCCGTTCTCGCGTGTTGAACCAAGGATTCAAGTTGGTGTTGAGTGTTGACATACTGTGACATACTCAGAATCAAAGCCATGGAAGAGACGGCGGAGGATGCCGTGGATATCCCAGTTGGCACTGAGACTGCTGGAGGGTCAGAGCCATCACAGGCTGGTGCCAGAGTTCCTCAAGACAGAGATACATCCTTTGTTCTAGAGCTCAAAAAAGTTAGAAGTCATCAGGTGGAATTGTGGTGGTGCAATGACATTGATTACTTGACTTGAGGTGCTTTGAGCAAAAGCCAATTGATAGCTTTGAAAGGAACCTAGGTGGAGCGTCTTCTTGACTTCATGGTATAGGTTCTGTTCACCCATGCGCAGACCAAACGCGCAGGCGGAAGAGCCTGGCACTGAAGAGCCCGAAGCAGGCGGAAGTGCCTGGCATTGAGTTTGAATATGTTTGAATCAACATTCAGATCATTCAGCAATCAGAAAAGCAGAGATTCCATCGGGTTTTCGCCGTTCGCCCTCCAAATTTACTGGACCAAAACGAAGTCGATGAACACCCGAAATCGACCGGCTGCGAAGCTTCCCTGTAGCTTCCAGGTGACGGCGAAGCGGAGGAGGCCAAAGTGGGGGCCTCAAGCGGTTTTAGCATGTTCGCACATCTTGAACAATGATACTGGCACCGAAACAATCATTTCAATATGATGACAAATCGATATCAGATGGGTCATATGTTGAAAGAACGTGTGTTGATCCATGTAAGAACATCATATTGTTGATCCCATGTAAGAAAATCAACAAATCTGTCGCCTGTCACCTGCATTTGCTCGTGTTTTTTGGTTCACCTGCTGTCGCCTTCGGAGGGTCTCCCCCGAGCAGCCTCCGGCCCCACAGGAGCCGGTGGAACCGCCTGACGAAGAGCTGAGTGGAGCCGGCGAGGCCGTTTCGTGGACTGTTAGAGGTGGCGAGGAAGAAATCAACATGAGGTTTAATCCAAAGAAACTACAAAAAGATGTGTGAAAGGCAACTGTTTAACCCCTTTGTCATGTTTTTGGTGTTCTTAATGCTATTTTGTTTTTGTCAGACCAGTATTTAGTTGTATTACTTTGTATGTTCTCACACCTGACTGGTATGGAGAACGACGTGGTTTGAGTTGCTTCTTGCACATGAAAGGTGGATGAACTTCAAATGGTTCCACAACATTTTTTATACATACTGCATCCCGACAATGGCATTCTGGTGCTGAATATGATAAAGCCATGTGTTTGGCGGTTCAGCCAATGAGTTCACTGGTGAGGTTTCACCCCCAAACCACCAGCGCTTGCCAGGCTCCAGCGTCTGAGGTCGCACAGCCCGAGTCGGTTTGGGAACCGAGGAAACGGCCCACGTCACCGGTCTGGGACCGGCGACCGCTCGGCAACGTACGAGCGCTCGGTGACCTGTTTCAGGGTGTACCATTTTAAAAGCTGTATAGAAGATCGTGAAAGAAATATGAAGAAGTAAACGGTAAACAGGTCAAGTAGAACACATATATTTTCGTTATTTTTGCTATCATGATTTTTTTTGCCTACCAGGCTGGTGCTACGACCTTTCATTGGCCACCAGAATTGCCAGCTGCAGATCTTCAAGAACTTCAAGGCTGGACGTTTTGACCCGGATTTGCTGTGTGATAAATCCGGACGAAAACCATGGCAACACCAATCTATTGTTTTTGCTCGAGGCCATATCAATCGTTTGATTGATATTGTTGTCATTTGGTGTTTTCGGTTGGGAGGTATGCATTCTCGCTTGCAAACATGAGGAAGATGCAGATGTCAACCAGGCCAACCACCTCAATCTGCATGGCCATGGGTTGGCTCTGCACCTTCAGAGTTTAAAGCTCGGGCCCCAAGCCAGAGGAAAGGACTCCAGTCGTCAGATTCTGGCAGATCTTCGCCTCTTCCGTTCAAAACAGATCCGTCAGGTACTTGATGTCGGCATGTGTCGATGATGCCACACCCAGAGACCCAGTTAGAAGGAAAGCTGCAGACACCAGACCGGACCGACCGATCGATGATTCGACCGATCCCTCCGGGGTGTCGACTGGGTGTCGACATCACAAACGATTTGCGGTCGCACTGAGTCTCCAAGGTCTGGGACGATTTCCGGACAGCCTTCAAGCAGTGAGCCCGGCCCAACTCACCAGGGCTAGGACTTGGAGTGGATGAAACAGGTTTTCAAACCTGCAGGAAACCAGGTTAGGCAGGTCAAGACGACATGACTCATGTGAGAACGAGGTACATGGTTCACCTTGCTGGTGAAGCACTCCAAAACGCGACACCCGAGGCTTCACCTTTTTGTGTTGTTTTCTTTTCTTTTTTTTCGTCGGAGTGTTGGCGTTCCGAAAGAAAACGCCCGGCTTTGTCAGGTGACATGTCTTTCTTTGAGCTGGATTGAACTGCTTGCAACAAAACTCTTTGAAGAGAGAAGGACAAGTGGCAGTCGTCTAGCCTTTGATTGATGAGACTGGAGGGATTGATGCATCTTTGAAGGCTTGGCTTTTGGTGATGCAAATAATGCAACCTCTAGGTTGTAAAGGTAAGGTTTTTGGCAAAGGAGGACCTAGGTAGCTCTGTGGGAAGATTGTTCAATTGATCAATGTTGGGTGTTTCCAAGCTAGGACCAGTCATTGCTCTTGTACTTTCATTGGGGAAATCTCAAAGATTGAATTGAAATGAGATGTGCACCTTGTTGGATGATCTGGCAAGCATGGTCAGATTTGTGTGGTGTGATAGTATGATGTGTGCTTTTGATACATGGGCACGAACCCAGAAATGTAACAATGTCTTTGATGCTGATGCTGCAGCAACTCAAAAGGCCTGTTTTGCTGGTAATGTAAATGATGCAACCTGCAGGTTGTCAAACCGCAGCCAAAACCAACTATATGACTCATATGACTATGTATGTATAACTAATGTAGTAACTAAAGTGACTTCTAGTTTTCCTGATTCCCAAGCCATCGGCATTGTCCAACTTCTCAGCGTCCTCCAGATGAGAGAGATGCCGAGGAGTCCACCCCCCTCCACCTGCCGACGAGTCCAACCCGCCCACGTCGGTCGACGTCAGTTGGACCCGCGCCAGCGGCAATTCGCCGCGGCGGCGCTCGGCGGCCATGGCAGCGGCAAGGCCGGCCTCAAGCACTGAGTCGTGTAGGGCATGAAAACCAAAAGGGTACAAAGCAAGAAAGGCACAAAGCCAGAAAACACATGTTGTGAAGATGTACGCTGTACATCACTTTTTGTACATGAAACCACATG